ACTAACCAATATATTACTCTCTCTCTCTCTCTCTCTCTCTCGTAAGAATACATGCCGTCAATGTCACAGGCCATTGAGACACAGGTGATTGAGGTTGATATGTGGACCCCATCTCATTAGATTTAGAGTACCTCAAAGTAATTTTTTTTTTGTTTTTTTTCTTTCTTAGTATTTTTGATAAGTCAAATGGGGAGAAAGTCCCTACCCGTTTTTCATTAATAAGAATAAGACAAAATACAACTCATTTTATAATCCGACTAAAGGAAACTTGGGCAACGTCAAGAAGTAAAAGGAGATTAACAAAATTTGGTGGTCGAGCGTACCAAACAGTGGCATCAAATAAAATTGTAGCTATCTTGGCAACCGAGTCGGCCACCATATTAGCCTCAGTAGATGTGAGATATGGACCATGTTCGGTTGTTAAGTTTTTATTAAGCTCATGCCAACAATTAGTAGCTATGACATGGAGAAATCACAGCGCCTTGCATTGAGCATGGATAGTATCAACCAGCAGCGATGAGTCGCTCTCAATTTGGGGAGGGAGAGAGAGCCTAGCTGAATGGCAAGGTTCATGCTAGCTTTCAGCGCATGGAACTCCACATATTAGATGCCTATCTTAGAGTATTCACAAAAGGGACAATGAAAGATCTATCACCAGCCCTGATAACAATGCCTCCTCCTGCAATCCCTGGATTATGAAAGGAAGCAATATCTACATTGAGATTAAAGTGATGAGGGTGAGAGCAAGACCATGCAATAGGAATGGATACCTTAGATTGCTGCCGCCCTGTGATATGAAGGGTATAAGTCTTGGCCTTTTCAGATAGATGGAAAGACCAAGATTTGGCATCTGGTAGCTCACTGACATGGGAGATGAACTTCCTGAGAAGATGATCTCGTTTGAACTCTCTCCCTTAAAAAACACGATGATTCCATTCCTTCCATAAGGAGGTAATAGTGAAAAAGAGAACGCCAAACGTTAAGGAAGCCATCTGACTTGAATATGAAAGACACCCATCTTCGAAGAATAGATTCCAAAATCTGCGTGAAATCTCTTACCACATCTCCAAGCAGTCGATTTCCAAATCCCCTGCGAGTAAGTACAATAATCCCAATATGAGTGAAATCTCTTTCCTTAAAAGTATTGAAAAACAACGGATCACAATTAGGGTTTTCAAAATTGTGAGGGGCATTTTTTTTTTTTTGGAAATGTTGTGGAAATGGGGGTGGGACGGCATCCGCCTCCCTAACCACTTATGCCCCAACCCCATCAAGGGGCATGCCAATTTTCCCCGTTCAATTTGGACCTAGTGGGTGATTGGTTTGAGTTGCTAACTAAATTGGGACTCGGAACGGTTCACCCCAAAATCACACTAAAATAAATTTAATAGATATATCATCTTTAAAATAATTTGATGTTCTTAGACCTTGTTCAAAATTTTTTTGCTTAAAAAAGTAACCGCAGCTGAGAAAAATTGCTGATTCAAACTGTTCAAAAGTTCGACCTTCAAGCTGTTCAAAAATTGGACCTTCAAACCAACTAAACGTATATCTTCTTTCTGTTTTTTTTTTAGTTTTGGCTTGTTCAAAAGTCAAACATTCACTTTGCCCAAATACTTCGGGCATATTTGATTTTGGGAAGGTGTGGCTTTGGAAATCATGTCTTGCCAAGGGATTGGACGTGGTCGCTTCTTTTCTCCCTGATGGAAGTAGCCACTTCTACTTTTCAATGTTGATTTTAATATGGAAGGAAGACACGCCTTCCAAAAATCGTGTACCACTTCTCGTGATCAAATATGGAACTGTTACAGTGTTTGGAAGTGGCAACTATGGCAGCGATCTATGGAAGCCACCGCTTCCATAAATCAAATGTGCCCATTGGACCTTTTATGTTAAAGTCCTGAACCGCCCAAACACCTAGAGGTTTTGTGTTCGGATTAGTTCAACATTTGGACTTTCAAAACTCGGGTAAAATAGAAATAAAAAAATGTAAACATTTAAGGCCTCATTATAAATATATTACTGCTCTACTTATTTTGGCCTCTACATAAATTTAGCTAAATAATTACTTGAAAAGGTTACATTAGGTTGTCATCTGACCATTCCTTTTCAAATGGGAAAATAATGTGGGTTTGTTTAAATGGTTCAAGGAGTCCATGTTTTAAGAGCTAATATCTCCGATGTCCTTGACCTCGAAATAAATCAAATGGATTATGAATTTTTTGTAATAAAATAACCATAAAAATTTCTTAAGAAGTTTTAGGTAGAGAGTTAGAATATGGAATTGTCTTGTAGGGTGCGGTTTGTATAGTGCTGAGGCTTTAAACAATCAAATTAGAGCCCACCTTCAAATAGTGTCGAGAAATATGGTTTCAATACTGGAAAGTTGTGTAATCACCTAAAATTATATTTTCATATTTAGTTATAAAATTTAATGCTTCAAAAATGGTGTAGATCGACAGATCTATGAAAACTAGAAAATATTGAAAATTAATGGTTCAAAAATTCGTTACAAGATGCAGTGTTTCCAAAACTTAAAATCCATTTTTTCTCATGTTCATGCATCTTGACGTCAAGATGACCAATTTGAAGATATTTGAGCATCAAAACAACCTCTTCTGGTGAAAGTTTTGAGGTGGGCTCTAATTTGATTGTTTAGAGCCTAGTCTCTATATAAACTTTTCCCTTGTCAGAGACCATTAATCTTTGAAACAAGTTTATATAAAGCCTAGGCTCTAAACAATCAAATTAGAGCCCACCTCAAAACTTTCACTAGATGTTGTTTTGATGCCCAAATATCTTCAAATTGGTCATCTCGACATCAAGATGCAAAGACATGAGAAAAAATGGATTTCATCTCGTAACACAGGTATTTATCTCCAAATTCTTGATCACGTTCTCTCAAGAACAATATCAATCATTACTCTATGGGAGTTCATCCTGTGAAATGAGACGCTTACAGAATTGGACTTGGCAAAAGATCCATGCTTGTATGCACCATCATCCTGGCCTGGGGACTCAGGGCCACAAGGATTGCCACCTGTCTTCTTCTCATCCCTGCCCTTGTTGAATATCACTGTGAACCCCTCAGCTGAAGCTGCATCATTAACAGCCCATTCACCAAATTTTGGCAGTGGCCTACCTTTATCCTGCAGTTGTAAATGAAAAATGACAATAACATCATGAATTTGTTGAGAAAGAAAAACCCAAACCACATGGATATCCATATGATAGGTCAAACCATCGAATATGCCTCATAAAAACAACGAAGAGATTGGGAAAATACATAGATCATCATGAGTTATGTGTGCTTCTTAGTGTATGTAAAGTCTTTTGCTGCAGTAGCTCACAACAATATATATCATTCATTTCCTACTTTATATACAATTTTTTCAAGGGCTCGTATACTGTCCACAGTATCTGGACCCTAGAAAGATGCACAAGCACCTTTCAATGGTTCATATTGAACCTAGCCTCACCTAAGGGCTACAAAACAATTTCGATTTTTAATTTCTTTTTATTTTTATTTAAAATAATATTTATTGGGGTGCAAATTAATTTTTTTCAAGGGGAAACAAAAAAAAATAATAATACAATTTCAACAAAAAATATTGATCAAAGTACATTTAGTGGTATTTGGTCATTTTTACTCAAAATATTCTATTATAATTTTTATTTGGTTCCCTTTATATGACACCTTACATTTCAGGGCTGATGACAGCACTTGTTACAGTATCATGTTAATTTGCAACATAAATCATATTAACAATGGTATTTATCTTTACTTCATGCCAGAACCATACTCTTGGTTTCATGTTTTTTTATCATTAATTTTATAAGATGCAACACAGTGATTAAAAAAAGGTTGCGCCAACTTAGGACTCTCCTGAGAAGGCACTCATTGGGACCTGGCTAATCAAGAGAAAAATCACAAAACTCGGGCAAGTCTCCGAAGCCTTATTTTCTCAAACAATTGGCTCAGTTGCACCTTAAACTCCGCCAATTCGGTGGCTAACTCGGCCTCCGGACCCTGGTGAGTCCAAACCAATTCCTTGTCTAAAAACATTGATGCAACATATACAAATGCAGCACTAGAAAAATGGTAACCTATATACCTCTCGCTTGCAAGGGTGTCAAATTTACATTGCTTAAAATTTGCCTCACAAAAGCAATTAACGGACATGTATCGGATTTGTATAATACAAATTACAAAATCAGAGAGATAATATGATGACAGAGCACCCAAGGCAGCCAAAAGTTGGCGTGCCAAAGTGGTCCCACAAGCCCAAATGAATCCTAGAGAGACTCTGTATGAAGCATGGGTCCACAGGAGGATCTCCAAGTGTAGGTGGACAACTATGTAATTAGGTTAAGATTTGTTTCTTTTTATTTATTTATTTTTAATAATGTTAACTGTGATTTGTTTCCTTTTTATTTTTTGAATGGTTTCCTGCATTGCAGTGTGTCTTTATTTAATCACTTCCTAGTTGTAATGAATATAGAGATGGTGCCTCTAGAAACCAAAGTTCTTTCCTAAATTGATTAGGACACTTACAAATATCTTCCAGTTGAATAGAAAGCTTTTTTTATTGTTTTAGAAGTTCAACAATGGGTATGATAAGACTATGCAAAGACTAGGACTTTGGCATGTATATACAAGAAACACAACTGGATTAAGACTTCTAACTTAGCACTAATTTCACCTCTTTCATCTCGATACAAGCTACCAAAGGTCTATACACTTCTGCACGGTCCGATTACATAGGTTTTACATCATAGTGTGCACAAAAAGCTCACAATGATATAGATAAGAATAGCAATTACGAATCTATCCATATCTTCAATTACGACTCCTATGCCAATATAGATAACTTAAACTACATTGGAAAGGGTAAAGATACAAGAGGGGCAATCATTTTCCCAGAAAATTCCATCTAAACGGCAACGAAATAAAAATAATATAATTGTTAAGAAGCCAATGACTATGCCACACCCCAAGGAGGCCTCATCAAGCTCTTCCACCGAAGAGGCAGGAGCTTTTTTTTTGGTTTGGGGCATGCTGGGGTTTGTATATTTGAAACCCAATGATCAGGCAAACTATTTAACCTTCAAACTGGCCAATGATCATCAAATCCCTGCAACTCTTAAATAAGGATAGATTTGTTTGCATGAATATCAATCTTCCAAGGATACACGTCTTTAAAACAAATCACAAATCCCCAGATCACATTAAGGTCATTGGAGTACTCAAGTTACAAAAATCGGCACAATGAATATCCTCAACCATTCTTCCAACATAAGAAATTTTTACTATGATAGGATCATGAGACACCATTGCTAAAACAAAATATGAGAAACTTTTTTTATTTTCTGTAGAATCCCCATGAGACCTCAAACAATGAGATTCCCTCTCCTAGAAATTTTTTATCAAAAGATGTTGATATTTATCATCAGATACATAGGATTGAATGCCCAAGACAATAATAATATAACAGTTTCATACAAAAATTGGGGACAATTTAGCAGGAGTCAATTCATTATCAAAAAAAGCAAACTTATCAAATGGGTAGGCAAAACACACTACACTGTAATCAACAGAATCAACTAGAAATTACAATTAATTGCAGAAGACTACCATCGTTTAGTAATACATTCTATTCCCAAATCTACATAAGATGAAAACAAATTATTAACGAAACAATTGGGAAAGCCTCTAAAAGAAAGTACTCAATAATCCACTGGGACTAATATTGGAATGCAATGTAGAAGCTCTCAACAGTATCCTGTCAATGTGCAAACGTAGACACAAAGAAATGGAAAGGAAACACAAGAAAACAGAAATTGACTAAATCCTCGATTCATTGGACCGGATTACTGCAAATTATCGAGATATTCATTTATTGCTGCAAATTATCAAGATATTCATTTATCTATAGAAAATTGTAAAAACAGCGAAACTTGGGAAAAGAAATTGGGAGTGGAAGTGGGATCAAGGGATCGACTCATGGCTAAAGCTCCCTACCTTTGGAAGGTCAGGGAGCCTTGTTTAGTGGGTGGCCGAGGAGTGGAATGATGTATCACTCTAATAATGAACTTAGATTTTTACCATAAAGTACTTTCTCTATTTAAAAATGACTTTTGAATATAGCGCTTTCATGAATTTTTCAATTTTCATTCTAAAATCCCTGGATATACAAGCCTTCAAAGTTTGAGTGATTACAATCTATGGTTCAGCTTTCCAACACTCTAGATTTGGATGTGTTCTCCTTGTAAAATCCAAGCAAAGCTGTACAAATTCATCATGTTAAAAATATTACTGCCCTTCTAGAATTATATGAAACCATTCTCCCATATGTGGCTATTGTTGATTCTGCTCTCATGCTGCCCTTTTTCTTCCCCCCACCCCGCTCTCTTATGTACTGTGTTGATAAGGTCGAAAAATGAATCTATCCTAGCATTTGAGAAGAGCTCCATATTTGTGACATACGGAAAACCAAAGCAAAAGGCCTGCATATTAGTAGGAGATGGTGCTTGATTCCACATGTGATTTATTAATATGTATTTCAGTGCTATTACAATACTAACTATTCCCAAATTAACAAGTAAAAAAAAAAAAACATCTAAATTAGCTTTTCACAAATAAGGTGGGCATAAATTTGTCAGGTGAGATGATAAAAAAGAAATGCATGGAAGTTTAATTCTGGGTGTTGTATCTCACAAAAGTTGTTTCAGTGGCAGAATAGTCATCAAAAAGTTCCTCCCTAATGTAAATGGCTAAATTGCAGAATCATCATCATCATTTTAGCCTTTTCCAAATTAATTGGGGCCTAAATTGCAGAATATTAAGATAAATATCACACAGGCTTAAAAGGTAAGGAAAGACAGATACCTTTCTGCAAGTAGTGTTTCTCATGGCCATCAAAGAATGAATGAGAATAAGATTGTTTCTTGATAAAGCTCATAGAATGCAAGTCATGAACAAAACAATTTGGTTGTACACCCTTGAAGTTTTAATGTACTTGTAACTACAGCAATGAAACAAAGTTAACTAATAAAAAGAAAAACAGCCTTGATGCATTTACTATAGTTACCTTGTCATTGGAGGTCTGTTCCAGAATAGTGATCCTCATCGTCCAAGAAAGAAATACTGGCTCTGAGTAGAAAAAGCTACTCACAAGCATCAGATTGATGCATTTACTATAGTTACCCTGAAATTGTTCGTGCCAATCAGCCTTCCTGTGATTGAATACAATTTCTTTCCTAATATTTTGCTTTTAAGATTGGTAAATGTTGTTTTTGTACCGAGAAGCAAGAGTGCATGTCTAAGACCTCGAAATCACCAGGCGGCGAAGGTTTGCCTGTTGTGCTTTCCAGTTAAGAGTAAGGGTGACTAATCACCTAAGAACAAACTAATCTCCTACTTTTCCCCATATAATGTCATTTTCTTGCATCGCCTCAAGCCATTCAATCTTCTCAAAGCACGATACAACCTCTCATGCACTCCAAGATTTATGTTTTCGTAAGAAATAAGACCCCTTTCCCTTATATCCATCAAAAGCAACTCCCCTTTAGACTGATCAATTTCCTTAAGAAGAGCTTCTATAAGCACAGTGTACATGGTAATATTGGGCCATAGGCGTTCCCTCTTCATATCTTCATAAAATTCAAATGCAACAGCTATACGGCCATTGTTACATAGTCCAGTGATTACAACATTATAAATCACAACATCAAGATTCATACCACATTGTTCTATCACATCACATAGCCTTAGAGCCTCAGCAAGCTTGCCTTCTTTGCAGTGTGCATTAATGAGAGTGGTAAAAGTGGCAATGGTGGGAACCAGCCCCATCTGAAGCATGTTATCAAAGAGCAACATGGCTTCTTCGAGCTTTTGGCTCTTGCACAGCCCCCGCACTACGGCACTCTCAGAAACATCACGTGGGACTAAGCCTAGTTTCTCCATCTCTTCTTTAAGCCTAAATGCCCCCTGGATATCACCCTCTCTACACTTCCCATTGATTAAAGTTATATAAGATCTATGGTTGGGAAGAACCTCTCCCTTTAACATGGCATGCAGAAGCTTACAAGATTCTTGGAACTCCCCTTTTCTATTTAGACCCTCAAGGACAGTAGTAAATGTACCCGAATCAGGAAGAACCCCTAAATTATTCATAACTGTGACAAGCTTAAAAACATTCTTCATATCACACTTGTCACTGAATTTCTTTATAAGAATGTTGAATATTGAGTGATCGGGATTCACATTTCCTCGAATCATTTTTTCCAACAATTTTACCCCAATATCTGCCATGCCAGTGTCAGAGAGACCAAGAGTGAGGGCATTATAAGTTAAAATATCAGGTGCAAAACCATCCTCAACCATTTCTTTGTACAAACACAAGGATTTTGATACTAGACCTTTCTTAGCATATGCGTGCATAAGAATGTTATAAGTTACTCTATTGGGATACAAACCCATTTGCAAAATAGCCGAGAAGAGTTTATCTGCCCTTTGCAGTTTGCCACCTCGAGAGAATCCATCGATCATTACATTGAAAGAAACAATATCAAGGACACCATTGGCCCTCATCTCTTTATAAAGATAACAAGCACACTTTAGTTGGCCTTCTTTAATCAATCCATCAATTAAACAAGTGTAAGTTACACAATTGGGAACCAAACCCCTATCCTTCATAGATAAAAACAACATAAATGCAGGAACTAATTTGCCTTCCTTACAAAAACCATTAATAAGAATAGTGTATGTGTATGTATCTGGATATATATTATTCTGAACCATGTCGTCACAAAATTTAACTGCTTCCTCCAACTTCCCAGCCTTACAAATCCCATGTAATAATGTATTCTACACTTTAGTATCTAGAACCAAAGGCATCTTGTGCAATTTGTCCATAAACCCATAAGCCTCATCCAAATTCCCACTTTTACATAGTCCTTTAAGGAGACTAGTGTATGTGAAAACGCCTGGAACATGACCTATTTTTACAACATCGTCAAAGATCGCAAATGCACTGAGCACATCACCTCTATTGCAATAACCATCTATTATACAATCAAAATTAACAAGACCTGGAGACGGACCAATCCTACCCATCTGATCAACAAACCCCTCAGCCTCTTGTAGCATCCCACCCTTACAAAGTGCAGCAACCAACATATTACAAGTTATCAAATCCAAATTCATGCCTCTCTTCTTTATATGAACATATAGTTTTAAGGCTTCTAATACTTTACCAAGTTTACAATATGAGTGAATTAAAGTTGCATAAATAATACTATTGGGGGGAAGTCCTCCTTTTTGCATCTTACATAGGATCTCCTTCGCATATTTGACCCTCCCCAATTTGCAAGATCCATTTATAAGTGAAGAATATGTTACAATATCTAGCACAATTCCAGACCCTTGCATTTTATCAAGAATGTGTAAAGCTTCATGAAACTGGCCGCTCTTGCAATATCCATCAATCAAAATGGTGTATATAATACACCCAGCATTTAATCCCTTTTGTTTCATTATATCCAAAAGATTAGAGGCCTCATTCCGCTTGCCAGCCTTACAAAACCCATTCATAAGGGCACCATAGCTAACCTCACTCAACTCGATCTCTAAGGCCTCCATTTCATCGAAAAGCCTCTAAGCTCTCTGAAAATCCCCTTTCCGGCAATGCCCATCAATCAATGTGTTATAAGTAATACCATTCGGCACAAGATCGTGAGCCAACATTTCATCCAAAACCTTCATGGCCAAATCAGTTTTACCCTCTTTACACAATCCAGTAACCAAAGTATTGTAACTGACTTCATTTGGTTTCATCCCCCTCGTCTTCATCCTCTTTAGAAGTAAATAAGCATCAGAGGAATTATTCTTTTTACACAAACTATTAATAAACATGTTATATGTACATATATCAGACTTAATACCTTTCAATCCCATTACTTCAAGAAGCTTAAAAGCAGCCTTGAACCTCTCCTTTTTAATATACTTATCAATCAAAGTATTGTAAGTAACTGATGTTGGCATGTAACCAATTTCCTCCATTTTCTTAATAAATTTCCCTGCCTTGTTAATCTTCCCCTCTATGCAAAGCGCATTGAGAAGAATATTGAATGTTCCCACATTAGGACAAATTCCACAAGCCAAAATCTCCTCAAAAAACAACCAAACCAAAGAAATCTTGTTTTTCTTTTTCATTATCAAAGAAAGAATAGCATTGCAAGAATAAATTGAGGGACTGAACCCCCTAAGTCTCATCGACCGAAATGTTTTCCAAGCAAACCATCATTGATATATACTCGAATCAAGAGGTCAAAGATCGATGGGTTAGAATTACACTTTGTATAAGCAAGCATAAGGTCATCAAAGAGGAGTTTAGGCCCAAGTCCTAACTTTGTCAGGTTTCTTAGTAATTCTTTGGCTTCATCATACATTTTGGCCTTAACCAATATGTGGGTTGTGATTGAAAGGCACTGAGTCATGTGTTTAAAATTGGGTTGTTTGCTGAGATAATTAAGGAACCTTAGAGCCAGCCTTCCATGGACAGCTCTGAGAGGTGAGAGTTTGTAGTTCATGTGGTTCAGGGATTCCCATCTGTCTATTGTCAGTATGCCGTAAATGCTGTTCTCTATGACTTGTTGCTCTGTTAAAAAAAATAAAGTAAAATAAAGTTATGCGTAGGAACTAGCACAGCTCTAGATTGAGAATCCATGAAAAAACCAACAACTAAATATAAAAAACCAAAAAAAGAAATATAAAAAACCCAAAAAGAAGAAGAAGGGTTTGAGAGAGAGAGAGAGAGAGAGAGAGAGAGAGAGAGAGTGGTTTGGTACAAAGTGGTAAGAGAGGTGGAGTATTTGCTCT